ATTTGTAAAATCATAATCAATGGAGCTTTGTACTTCACTTTAACCGTAATCACAAAATATTTCAACTAATCTCTTTATCAAAGCAGTTTAAAGAAGATGGGTCATCAACAGGAAACAGTCCCACCGTCATATCGGTGTAAATGTGCTCCGAGGCCAGACAGAAAATAACCGAGTTTATTGTGTCTGTGAAGTCACTGGTTATCTGATGTTTACTCCTTTACAAACACGATGCACTGAACACTGTCCCGACTTTTACGTTGCTGCTTTGGATTCAGTATTTGGATGAGTGTTATTTATGTTTCCTACCGGCCTTTGTTTACAGGGGGACACTTATCAGTGTGACACACGCCCCGGTTAATAGAAAGGAGAAGTTCAAGTGGCTGCTGCTGGTTTTTAATAAAGATGTCGAGTTAAAGAAGTAACGCCTTCAGGTCATCTTCAGCCTGAGAGGGAAGAGAAAGCTGTTCACAGAGAAAACGCTGTCTCACAAACACAACACGACTTTAAAAGGTTCAAGCAGGTTTTAATAGTTACATGCTGAAATAAATCATTCGGTTGTACAGTTTACTGATAATTAATGAAACCCTTTGGGCTGCTGTCCCAAATAAAATGATTAAAAGTAAAAGACTGATTGTTTCTTTCCTTTTTAGATTCATATTATTCCCTTTATAATTATACTTTTGGGTTAAACTCTCTGGCTGTGCCTCCTCCTCTCTCTGTTACAGTAGATACTCGTCTTTAAGGTCAACATCCACACTTTCTAATCACATTCCACCAAAACCTGCATGAATTAGGACCTGGCCTCTTCATGTCAGAGCTAACTGGCCAATAACACTCGTCCTCCTGTTGGAGGCCCAGAGGAAAACTGTCCATCACACCCGGAAATGGAGGCTCTTTGCTAACTGAGATCCTCCGGGAACTTTTGTCTGTTAGAGCCCAGCTGGTTTACTTTACTGTGACCAATAAATGTCATATTTGTACTCTTGATCTACTCTGGTTTCTTCTCAGGTTTCAGACTAAAGAATCGGCCTAACACTACCATGGATCGATAGCCCTG